GTTAAGTGTCAATATTGTTTTTATATTTTCGACAATCAGTAAAAGATGTAAAAAAAACAAGCATATGATAATTGAGTCTTGTGTGGTTAATAGAGATATACGTTCAAACTTTATATTCATAAAGATATGTTCAGAGAAATCCTTTACTAAAGATATTATTTTCTTTTGAATTTCCAAAAAAGTGATCTTTTTTATCAAGATCAATATTGACATTTAACAAGGAGTCTGTATAGACTTCTTTCTATAAATATAACCTTTGAACATCTCTCTACCACTGATGAATTCATTTGCTTGAACCGTAGCAGAGATTCAATTTTTCCTTGAGTTAAGTGACTTTTGCACCATCTTGTAGATAAATGCGAAAACTTCGGATTTTATTCCGAAATTCTATGTGTCGTAAAAAGTGTATCAGAAAACATTGACGAAATATCACTATTATTCGTAATAATTCATTTAATGAAACTTAATTTCGAACTTGATCAAAAGTTTTATGAGAAAACTGTGTAAAGAATTTCATTACAGTTTCAATCTACTTTGGTAAGTTCTTGTCTGAATGGATAAATCATATCATTGATCGATTTTAGTCATATATTATCTTTTTGAATACAAGAATAAAATCAGAATTGAAAGAGCTGAAAATACTAAATGAAATCTTGTACTGATCGTCATTTCGTTATTTTTAATTGAACAGATTGTTTTATTTAATAGAAATTGACGTAGGAAAATATTAATATCATGGTACGACTCTTTTTCCTCAAGTTTGCTTGTCGATAAAACGCTTAAATATTATTTTCATAAGAATTATTTTATGAAAAAGATTTTTATCTTCTTTTCTTATTCCTTCCATCTAAATAGAAACATCTTATGATAACAGAAGATACTCCTGATCTTTGAATATGGATTGAGAGAAAGAAATTCATTTGAAACGTTTAGATAACATCGAGACGTGATGATTTATCGTTCGATAATACAAAAGAATAATTCATATAAATAATGATAAAAACTATTATAGGCAAAAATAATAAAATCTTTTTTCTGTTCTACTCGAAAAAAAAATGAACGATGATCAATTGATTTTATGTTCAGAATTTTGCTTCATCTTTGGATTTTTGATTCAATATTCTTTCTTATCGATAATTAGTTCTCAAATCTCCCTCAGAATGATATATCAGAAAGTGGAGGCGAAAGATTGAAAAATGTATAGAGGAAAAATATAGTGTCGTGATAAATTAAAAAAGAATATTCACTACTTTTGTCAGCACATTTACAGAACATCAATGAATATATTCGATGGTGGTTAAGAACTTTCAAGATTGAACGATTTCTATCTGAGAAAACGACAAAAAAATGTAAAAATACTTATGTTTGAAATTGATTATCTAATCGCGATAACATATGTTGTTGTGTATGTCTATGATAGAACAAATTCTACGATGTAGCACAATTACATGGCATTTCTATCACTTTTTCTTGTTCATTGTCTGTTAACATTAGACAATGAAATTTTAGTTCTTGGAATTATACACGTATTCTCTATGATATTTTACAACTTTCTCTCTCTCTCCTTTTCAGACCGTTGTTTATTATCTTAGTTTCCGTCATCAAATCATATTAGTAGAATAACACATTATTCAATTCTTGCAAATACTTGTTCATATGTGATATTTATTCTTAGAATACAATATCATGTATCTATTCGCTTTTCTAGATTTCCATTCATGAAAATAGAACATTCGAATCGACGATTAACAATGCAAAAATACAAAGCAAACATTGATGTAATCTCTCGAGTTAAAATGAAATAAAATAGATATCTTCTTAATTTTGTTTGTTTCTTTTAGTCTTCAACTGATGTTTCTCATTCAAAAGGAACATCAAACACTAAAATGTACACATCGTATGTATACAGACAAAGTTCTACTATAAACAAAAGAAAGAATTCAATAGTTTTAGATGTTTAAATATTTGCAGAAAAACATTTTTGTATAAACTACTTGCTAGTGTGACTATTCTTATAATTATAATAAGTATTACAATTCCATTAGTTATGCTGAAACAGAAAACGAAAGGCATATCTACATCGACAAATGTAGAAACATCAAAGACAGTATCACCCGAAATAACAACAGGTATTTTGTTTTTCATTCAGTTGGAACGTATTGAATTTCTAATTTGCACACAATAGTTTATTCATCAACCTTGTCATCATCAGATGCATTATATGTTCGTCCTAATACTCCTTGGCCAAATGCTGGATTTCATTATCAATCTATTCGACTTCGGATAAAAGTAGCTGGTCTTTATACAATTCTTTCAAACAGTACTATGGATACACATGGATATATTTATAAGGATACTTTTAATTCATTATCTCCATATAAAAATCTCTTATTAGAAGATGCAGATACTGCTGAAAATGGACAATTCAAATTTACAATATTTCTTTCTCGCGTCGTGAAATATACCATCGTTGTAACAACATACAAAGCAGCTACAATGGGAACATTTTCACTGATCATACATGGGCCATCGTCAACTGTTTTGTCTTTATGTAAGTGAACATTACTTTTAAAATAATTTTTGTGACGATCTACGAGAGTGATTGACCATATTTCTTCATATGATAGTGTCTTGTGACATTTGTACTCTCACGATCGTGTTTCTTCTACACGACGAAGCACATATGTGAGTAAGAAGTACAATACTCTCTTTGAAAATGTCAGTTTTCATGAAAAGTTTCGAAATCAAGATAAATTCAAAGAAAATTATCGCATATTGAACACTTTTTTCAAATAAGTATGATTAACTCTTACGAAAATATCTTGCATTAATCCAATTTTCTGATGATCCTTTTAAGAAATATTGTTTAGCTAGAAAATAAAAAGAGAACGTAACCTCATACATGTTTCTAAAATTCTTCCCAAAACATATTGTTTTCTCTCACGAGTATGGACACATACTGAGAGATTCTGCACTTTTGCTGTTTCATATCAGAAGTCTTTCATGTGTACAAACCAGTATATCTATGCATTTTTAAAGATATTCATTTTGATTTAGCTGAAACTAATCCACCAGATAGAATTCAGTGGTTATTCGATGGAGATTTAAACGATGTTTATGGTCGTTACAATGGACAACTGAAAATAAATGGGAATAATACTACTACATGGATGTCACCAGGTTATGCAGGTTATGGAAGTGCTGCTTGTTTTTCATCTAATAATTATATGATTGTTAAACGATACTTGAATTTAAGTTCGACTAAATTAACCGTTTCTTCTTGGATATGGATTCCAGAGAACCTTTTGTTAAGTTGGTATTTTTTTCCTTTATTTACTTATTGTGCATGGGCTGGACAAGACATGTGTTTACATATGGCTGTGGCTGGCGGTAAACTTCGTCTTGGTTTCTACGGTGATGATTTAAATGGAAATATTGCATTAGCTTTCAATCAGTGGTATTATGTTACCTATTCTTATGATCCGTTGTCATTACAGCAACGTATTTATGTCAATGGAATTGTTGATGGAATTCGAACGCCGAACCATGCATTTCAACAAACTGCAAATGTTATAGTTATTGGTGGAGCACCGCTAATCACTGACCTTTTTTCTGAAAGTGGTTTTATTGATAAATTAACATTTGAATCACGTGTTAAAAGTTCTGAAGAAATTCTTGATGAAGCAACTCTTGTTGCTTATTATCCATTTGACAATTCATATGATGATGTTGGACCAAATCAAATGATTAACAGTACATTTCTTTCAACAATGTTTGACTCAGATGGTCGATTTGATCAATGTTTATTAATTAATTCAACAAATTTATCTTATTTTCAGTCAACAGGTTTTTATTATCTTGGTCAAACAAATTATCCATTTTCATTTTCATTATGGATTTATCCATTTATTAATAATGGAACAATTCTTCAGGTAAGACTTATTAAAATAAAATATATTATTATTATTCAATTTTATTCTCGGATTAGATGAGTTCTATAGATGGATGGTGTGTACCAACAATTGGTTTCGATTCTTCAGGTCGTCTCACAATTCAAATATTAGGTGCAAATGGTATTTATTCAAGTTCATTCATCACTGGAATAATATCGTTGAATCAATGGACTCATATAGTTATGACATATTCAACATTCAATGGTATTCAGCTCTTCGTTAATGGATCATTTGCAAATGAAAATAATAAACATCGTACTTATTCAGCAACAGGTTCAAGACATACAATCCTTGTAGGAACTTGTCTTTCACCAGACACTTGTTCTCATGGGAAAACACGAATTGTTCCATCGTCATTTCGAGGAAAGATTGATGAACTGAAAATCTTTTCTCGTGAATTATCCTTCATTGAAATCGCTCAATTAGCTCAAGGTTAGTATTATAAATGTGAAAATCTCAAATATTCATAAGGTTTTTTTTTATTGTTGAGGAAAAAGATATTGAAAATTATTTTATTAATCTTATATATTTAGTAACAATTCCATATGAATATGGTTCATCTAGTTTATGGCAGTTTGATAAAAATGCTTTAGATAGCATATCGAATCATCATGGAGTAACTGTCAATTCACCTAGTTATGTAACACCTGGTATTACTGGGAATGGATATGCTTTGAAAGTCAATCGTAATCAAACTCAATATGTAACGGTATCAACAAATCAAAGTTTTCATGATGTTAGCTTTACAATAGAAATGTGGATATATCCAATTAGATTAACGAAGAGTGATATTTTTGGACTTTTTTCTCAATATGATTCAATGGAAAAATATCATTTCTTACGTTTGACAATACAGGATAGTCGTCTGTATATGGGTTTTTATAATGATGGTCTTGAATGCAGAACAGAATTAGTAATAAATACTTGGTATCATGTTGCTTTTGTTTATGATTATCGATCAAGATCACAAAATATATATTTAAATGGAAATCAAGATTGTCATCGTAGTGCAGCTGGATCATTTAAAAGAAGTCAAGGTCCTATACATATTGGAACACATTTCCAGAATGTATATAATTGTTTTGATGGGTAAGGAAAAAATCGCAAGACGTTTTTCATTCATGTTAAAATATCTCCAGCGAAACAAATTCAGTTTTGAAAACTGAAAACAACGAGGAATTTCTAATTGATTGTCTATATATATTTAGTCTTATTGATAATGTTGCATTGACTATGCGAACAAAAACTGATATGGAAATTCTCGATGATGCTACATTGATAACATGGCATTCATTTGATAGTGTATCATGGAAGGATTCGAGTACATTTGGATTAACTGCAACAGCTAATAATGTTAATTTAGTCTCGGGCAAAGTGAATCATGCATTAAATTTTAATTCAAGTTCAGCATATTATCAGGTAAAATAATATTGATTTTATTAAAAGAGTCCAAATAGGAAACAGTAAACTCCAGAACTCCACTGGGTGTTTAGTTGTTTCGGAGTTCTTTTGAATTCATGAAATTGATGGAGATAGATTTCACTTCGCCTTATATTGTCTAGTAATCAGAAAGCAGGAGACAATGTAGACATTCGTTAATAGAGTTCCTGAACGAATCGATACAAAGAATGTCGAAATCATTATTTTATGTTTTTACTAGATTTCTGGATTTGTTTTACTCGGAATTTCTAATCGATCGTATTCGATATCTTTATGGATTAAACGAGCATCCAATAGTGGAGGAGTTCTTGTTCATCTTTCAACGCAAATAAATGGAACAGGATGGTGCACTACTCTCATGGGGTTTCAAGTCAACGGTCAATTTGTCGTTAACAATGGTAATTTTAGTGAAAACATATTAGTTGTCCGACTGCTGCCTATTAATGTATGGACACATATTGTCGTTACTTATTCATTAAGAAATGGGCTAATCTTATATATTAATGGAATCTTTTACGGTACAACAGGTGAAATACCCTATACAACTTCAGGAGAAGCTAGCATTTTGACATTGGGTAATTTACTTAGTGGAAGTTCGTGTTATCGAGGATCAATTACATCAGACGTGTATGTTGGAGATATAGACGAATTTCGTGTTTATTCTCGAGAGTTGAGCACTACGGATGTTTATGAGCTTGCTAGTCCTTGATTAAAAAACTGTATAAGCAATTTTGTTTACTATTTTTTTGCATTACTATAATGAACATTGATGTTGTCAAAACATAAAAGTCATTTTTTATTCAAGCTATTTTTGATGTAAGTTTGAGTGTTGTTTTCTTGAAAATAAATATCGCTTTTGTGAGAAACAAGACATCCTATTATCTTTTTCTAAGATGCCTGCAAGTATAAAGCTCAGCTAGCTAGTGACGTGTGCCCTCACTCTCACCTGCCAGCAACTTATCACAATCGAATTTTAAGTTAATCAAACACCTTGTACAGCCATTCATCATGAACTTGAATGATCTTGTTCAGCTATTTTCTACTATTCTTCAAGTTTTGTCTGTTTCAGTTTACCGTTTATTGTTTAATCCTAGCGAAGAAGTTTTCTTTCCAGGACTTTGTTTGTCACTCGTCACCTGCCGTAATTTCAAAGTGCGTCTTGGTTATTTATCGGATGATAAGCAGGTAGAATATTTATTGAAGCATTTTCGAAGTTTGGAGTTTTGGTCAAGTTTTCGAAAAATTGCTGATTCAATATTGTTCAAAATTAAAGCGATTTCATTTTGCATTAAGGGATTGTCGACGGCGAAATCAGTTTGCAAGTCGATTTTAAAATCTGAACAGATTCTAACGTATTATTTGATTTCCAGTATTTGCGATATATTGTATATCTAATAAAACTTCGCGAATTAAAAGCTTTTGAGTTCGATAGTAGCATTTTTGCTACACATGCTTGATGATTATTTTTCGTGGCATAATTCATATGGATTAGTACGTAATCCGTTAAAAACAAGCAAGAAAGAGTATTCTAAAATCTTTCTGTACTATGTGTGATACTGAAGAAAAAATCAGATGGAACGTCTCATATCCCGAGCAAACAAGAACTGGCAAAAATGCGTGTAATCATTCAAGAATGCCACTTTTTAAGCGTGAACACGCGCTTTTCCGAATTCTTCTCTGTTTGAGTGGCTACTAATATTTGTTCCATTATCAGTTTACACTAGTCTTGTTCAGATATTATCAGAAACATATTCATGTCGAAATTCCCTCCAAATAATAACTCTTCATATTAATTATTAGATGGTAATTGGTTATTATTTATTGTCAATTCTATGAATTTTAATATCATTTACTTCAACATGGTATAACTTACGACAATTATTGCAACGACGTCGTAATATTGAAGGTGTAACAACACGTATGATGTTAATTCAAATGTTTGTTATATTCTTAAGTGGAATTCTTGCAGCTATACGCATAATATATTTATTAGCTACATCGAATATGCCGAAAACACGTTTAAGATCATCATATGAAAGTACAATTATTTAGTGATTGCGTAGAACCAATATGAACAGTGAATACATGATATAAACATAACATGAATTCTTAATGTCCATTGAAAATATTTCAGAACATGATGATTTTCATTTATTCATTCATGTTCACATCGTACATTATTTAAAGTCAGAGCAATCGATGAACAATCTGAAGGATCACTTTGCTCTTTCATTGTCAAAGCTATTTGATAATGATGAAGAGTCGTATTATGAATAGAATAAGTCAATATCTTTTCCAGAGTGGGAGTTAAAACTAGCGGAGTTATAACTCGGGTTATAACTTTTAGGTTATAACCAATTAACTTTTTAGTCGAAAAGTTAAATTAGTTGTAACTATTAACCATAGTTATAACCTTCAACCAGAGTTATAACTTTCAACCACAGTTATAACCTTTAACCATGGTTATAACCTCCAACCACAGTTATAACCTTCAACCGTAGTTATAACTATGGACCCTAGTTGGAACTTCGGACATCATTAGCTTTATGGTATTTATCACCTAATTTTATTGAATTGAAATAGTAACTACTTCGTCCTTAGGGATGTTTAGCTCAATCAAAGAAAATACAAGTAACAATATGTGAACTAAAATTTTTTTTGCGANAACTGGGCGAATTAACAATTGTTCCATGAAGACTTGATATACTATCAAGAGTATTGTTATCAAACTGCCATAAACTAGGAAGTAAAGGTTCAATACTTATTGGAACACATGATGAATTTAATACATTCCTTGGTTTTAATGGGTAAGAAAAAATAAAATATCTCTAGTAAAAAAGTTCAGTATCGAAAATTATTATAAAAAGAAAAAGGAATCTCAAATTGATTATATATGTATTTAGTCTTATTGATAATGTTGCATTGACTATGCGAACAAAAACTGATATGGAAATTCTCGATGATGCTACACTGATGACATGGCATTCATTTGATAGTGTACCATGGAAGGATTCGAGTACATTTGGATTAACTACAACAGCTAATAATGTTAATTTAGTCTCGGGCAAAGTGAATCATGCATTAAATTTTAATTCAAGTTCAGCATATTATCAGGTATAATATTGATTTTGTTAGAAAAATCCAGCTAGAATTGAATTCATGGAGATAGATTTCACTTTGTCTTACTGTCTAGTAATAAGAAAGCAGGAGAAAGTGTCGACATTTGTTAATAGAGTCCCTGATCGAATCGGTACAAAGAATGTTTAAATCATTATTTAATGTTTTTACTAGATTTCTGGATTCGTTTTACTCGGAATTTCTAATCGATCGTATTCAATATCTTTATGGATTAAACGAGCATCCAATAGTGGAGGAGTTCTTGTTCATCTTTCAACGCAAATAAATGGAACAGGAACGTGTATTACTCTCATAGGGTTTCAAGCAAACGGTAAAATTGTTGCTATGAACGTTCGTTCTAAGAAAAAAGAAATAGTTGGTTTGCTGCTACCTATCAATGTCTGGACACATATTGCCGTTACCTATTCATCAAAAAATGGACTCATCCTTTATATTAATGGAATGTTTTATGGTAGAAAAAGTAGAACGCCTTATAAAGCTTCAGGAGAAATTAATATTTTCACATTGGGTAATTTACTTAATGGAAGTTCGTGTTATCGAGGATCAATTACATCAAACGTGTATGTTGGAGATATAGATGAATTTCGTGTTTATTCTCGAGAGTTGAGTACAACGGATGTTTATAAACTTGCTACACAATGATTAAAAAACTGTATAAGCAATTTTGTTCACTATTTTTTTGCATTACTATAATGAACATTGATGTTGTCAAAGCACAAAAGTCATTTTTTATTCAAGCTATTTTTGTTGTTGGTTTGGGTATTGTTTTGTTGAAAATGAGTGTCCCTTTTATGAGAAATTGATAAAGTTTGAACTGCATAGTGATATCTGCATGTTCCGACCGAATGATCGTGGAATAGATATGAGTCAACGAGATGTGTTCTCGCTTCTATCCGTATATAAGGTTCACCTTTTGCCAAAGAAGCGAACAGAACAAATATTCTTTTTTTCCAAATCTTTAAATATTCGATGTAAACGAGAACCATATGAATTTAGTAAAGTGAAAAAGATTTCAGCGAATATTTCTATTAAAAATCTTATTTAGTTTATTTCGTAATCGATACTTTTGCATTGGAAGATATTCATCGAAATAATTGTCCGTTAATTAATTGATTTCTAATTTTACTTTCTATAAATTATGAAAATATGATTTCGATGTGAGATGTCAACAATTTTATTTCTAATTTCTCCATGGTTGTATCATTAATATTATTGAATTCATTGATGTCTTATCATAATCTTGATTATGTACATTCGATTTCCAACATCGTTCACAATGTTTGTCGATTTATTGAACTTAGAAAATTTAACTATTTACTCACAAGAGAATGTTCTACTGCATCTATTTTTGTTTTCGATAAGAAAATACTTGGATCATTTGAACGTGTACAATGATCACTCTTTCCCAAAGAAGTGTGAGTTGATAGTTTTATACAAAAATATCAGATGTACAACTTCGTTTTAAATGTAAAGAATTTTAATGTTTGAAATGATTTTCTTCTCAGAAATTTGTCTACTGTATTCATATTTATTTGAATTGTTATCGATGCCGATTTAAGTACACAAATACCGATGACTGTTGAATTTGCAATATTTATCCTTTTTTACATGTATTTTCATAGTGATACATTCTTAGATAAATTCATCACAAACTCAACGATTCGTAAATACAGTTAATACAAAAATCAAGGAAATATTCCATAAGACAATCAATACCTGAAGGATGTGAATTAATTATGAGCAGATATATTAAATTACTATTTCAATGACGACCACAGTACCATTTGTACAATTCATTATGTAAGGAAAGCATCGATTCTAACTCGATTATAGTCATGAGGATAATTTCATCGACCATATCATTGGGAATCATAGGAATTCAATGACAGATAAATGTTCATTTTAAGTGTTATCTTTGAAGTAGAGAGTGAGAGAGAGTTTTACACTCAAATAGATATGTTAGAAGAAAATATGGATAATTGAGCTCAGAACAGATATTAACAGTGATATATCAGAACAGAATATGAATATATCTGAATCAATCTAAAATGTTCATTTAGAAAAATGCACCATTTTGCAAACTTTTATTTAAAATTTAATTACAAAGACATTCGCGATGTCGAAAGAGCATCTCGAAAGGTTATTACAGTTTATTAGAGTGAGAATAGACGATGACATATTTCAATCTTTGGCTGCGAATTTTGCAAAATCTGAATGACAAAAGAACAAAATTGATACTCTCAGTCTCTATCCTTCAAGAGAATTTTCTTGATAAAATAAGTACAAATTCCAAGATATCAGAGTTAAATCTTTGAAATTGATCTCATTGACGCCGTAGGTAAAAATCTAATATAAAATATCGTACGCAAACAGCACAAAGGTACGCACGTGATCAATCGATTATGTATATAGATACTAAAACGCTATGAAAGAATGACAATGCATATTTTATATATACTTAATGCACATGATTATATAAAATCGTTGTATCTTATCTTACCTTTCATTTTCATCGTATTATTTTTTGTGTGTTGGACAAAGATGGAAAATCAAAATTTGTCGCATTCACTCATCAAAAATCCCTCGATTTATTTCTTACCTGGTGTTACTTCTCAATCGATCGACACTTGTTTTCGTTTACTTAAAGATAATCATGAACATCATCATGTCTTTTTTAACAAAGAACATGCCTTTCATAATCATACTTCACATCATCTTTTAGCTGCTTTAGGTTTTGGTGCGTCATCAACGGTATTAGAACGTATTTATGACGAACAAAAGAAACAACAAATGCCCATTGAACCTCTTCATAAAAAGGACGAATTTGATGTGAAAAAATGTTTGGGTAATGATAATTATTATCATGATTATTTGGAATTCTTTCGAAATGAATTGGAAAGTAAAAAATATGAAAACAATATTGATGAAATGATCGAAGATTACTTGTTTAACAAAGATTATCTTGTTCATTTCCTGTCAGGTGCTTTTCATTCATTTATTCATCTCGGATATGCTCTGGAATTTCAATCAAAACTCATGGCAATTGAAGGTTTAGCGATGGCATCAGTAGATCAAGTCAGTGTTCAGCCTGTTTTAGAACAT